TTGGTTGAGGAGGCTCAAGGGGGGGTGGGATTGCTGGTGATGTGCTGCTGCTGCTGCTGCTGCTACTGCTGAGGGACGAGGAGAGAGGCTTGAAATTCTCGGGAGCTTTACTTCCCGGGAATATTACACGCCCCGCTGTGAGCACTCGCCGATTCGAGTGATTCCCACCCCCCTACTTTTCTCTCTCTCTCTCTCTCTCTATCTATCTTTTTCTTTACCTTCCTTTATTTTCCTTTTTTTTTTTTTATACCCTTCTTCCTTCTTTCTTTCTTTCTTTCTTTTTTCTCTTTCTCTCTATTTCCCTAACAGTTTTCTTCTTTTCTCCCTCGAACCAGCGGAGCATCCAATGTACACCGCGAGCTTTTTCTTTCCCTTTGGCTCATGAATTTCGACGACTGAGATCCGGGCCGCTTTGTTTAAACGTTTAACTGGTTGCTGAGAACGAGAATGAAGAGAGAGAGAGAAAGAGAGAGAAGGAATCTTAGATTTTTTTTTGTCTTACCACGTTCATTTAGAGAAAATTTCCTATATGAATATTTCCAAAATGAATTAGAGCAACCCTTCCTTTCTTTTCTTTTTCTTTTTCTTTTTACGTAACACGAAAGATTTGGAATCTATGCTCGGATAGGGAAAAGAAAAACTGCGATCCACCCCTTGAGACGCGTAGGAGAGGGTGGGGACATGTCGGTAACCAGTTAAAAGCACTCTTTCGTTAACGTTCAACAAAATATAATATCAGGAATATAATTCTTTTTCTAAAGGGGTAAAAGGGATTAAAGAGAGAGAGAGAGAAAGAGAGACTACGTTAAGTCCTCAAAGAAACATCGACTAATCTTCATCGAAATCCTACTCACCTAATAGATATTATCAATACCGCTTTTGCATAATCGAGCTTCTTCTCTCGATTTCGAACGAACGAATTAATTCCGCATGGTTTCCTTCAACCACTCTCTCTTTCTCTCTCACTCTCTCATTTATAAGATTACAAGTACTTAAGTACCCGATCAGAGAGGACCCTTCTTTCGCTGTCGGACCAGAGAAGTAAGGGGGGTAATAAGGGAGAAACAGTCGAACCTGCTGCTGCTGTTGCTCTTTCCTCGAGATATTCTGATTTGTGAGTAAATCAGTAGGATATTCTATTTTCCCTATGTGAAAAATATTTCGATTAGAGACGTCGGGGATGACTAGCAGAAAAGAAAAAAAAAAAAAAAGGACAAAAAGAAGAAGCGAGTTAGAGACAAGCTCGAAAAGGGTGGGAGGGTGAGTAGAAAAGAAAAAAAGAGAGAGAGAAAAAAAAAGAAGAAGAGTAGGGAGGAATGAACGGTGTTTAAAATTCCCGTGAGGCTTCGCGGTTTCGCGCTTCGTACAGGAGTAGAGAAAGCGAATGGGGGGGTTGAGAAAAAGGGGGTAGAAAGGAGGAACATCGTTCCTCGTGGGGAGCCAGTAACGGCGGGGGTTTCCAGTTCGGAGGGGTGGTTCGAGAGTCGATGGAAAGGCGTTGGAGAGCAGCAGCCCGTTGGAGAGGTACTGGAGAAAGGATGCCAAGGAAAACGAGGAGAAGGAATAAGGGCTTGCGCGTTCGAAGTCGACAGATTGCCGCCGTGGGGACAAATAGAGAAGTGTGTATCCCATAGTCGCCAAACGTTACGACGACGACGAGCCGAATTTCGGGTAAATTGTTTTCTACCTCTTCTTTCCACCACGTCTCTCGTCGCCTTTCCCTAGAAATCCTAAAAGAGAGAGAGAGAGAGATGAGTAGAGAATGAACGGATGGAAACGTAAAGAGAGAAAGAAACAGAGAGAAATGGAAATCTCGGTACCCTGAAATCGTCGATTTAAATTTAGGGTGTTTGCCCGCGGGATGAAGTACCCCTCCGAACTTCTACAGAATCACTGCCACCACTACTACTACTACTATTAAACTTTACCATCAATGATATACACACACACACACATTTACCAACAATTTCTTTCCTTTTCCTGAGAGAATCTTCCTGGATTCGTTACGTTACCTTCTTTACGAGTGTTACCACTATTATTATGTCAGTTTTAATTATTACCCTAATATACTTTATTATTAAGTTTATTTTCGATTACTTTTAGATAGTATATATATTGAAATTTTTTATCGTATTTCTCGAGTACGATGATACTTGAGATTTATTAAGATGCATTTAGTAGGATACTTTTTTACTTCTTCTTCTTTTTTTTTATTTTTTTTTTTTTTATACATGTTTTAAAGAGAGAAAGAGAGTGCAACGAAATCGTTCGAGTATTGTGTTTCATGGGAATGGCTCTGAATATCGATTGTAAATAAACACGATATGCTTTGTACCTCTGACGCGTTAGTTAATACATTATTCATAACTACGCTCGTGATTGTTGCGGAAAAATGAAAAATGTTAAACCCCTTCATGTGAAAAATCGTCTCTTTCTCTCTCTCTCTCTCTCTCTCTCTCTCTCTCTCTCTCTCTCTCTCTCTCTCTCTCTCTCTCTGTTTCGTAGGCAACAACAATCAAAAATAATTAGATAATAATTGACAAGTCGGCAACCGCATGTTTCAGATCAAATTTTGGTTTGCACTTATTCGTGTTACGATAAAAAAAGAAAAAAAAACGAAAAAAAAAGAACATACCCCTCATAATTATGAAAGTGATTTAAGTAAAAATGAAAAAAAAAAAAAAAAAAAAAAAAAAAAAAAAAAAAAAAAGAAAAAGAAATGAATTTATTAATTATATCACGCAAGAGAAATTATTTGAAATGAAATGAATTCAATGATGTAATTTTCACACGATATTATTAAAAATGTATCGTTGGCTAGAATTGATTATTTCAATATCACATGATAGTTTTGTTGCAGAAAAAAAATAAAGAATATCTGAGATGTAACAAAAATGATGACAATAATTATGGTCGTAAGGATAACAGTAAAAATGAACCGATTGGAAAAATGAAAAGAGAAATCAATTTTTCTTTCATCGAAATAAATACGAGATAGGGGGGGGGTTGGGGGATGTTCCGTGTGATAAAGTATACGAGCGTGTTTTCACGGTTTACCCTTTGTAGCCGACCAATTAACAACGTTCCAGGAGGACGCGTAAGCGACGAGAAGGAAGGAGAAACTTTTCCCGCGTGTTCGTCAAGCTTTTATCAAAGAACACGACAGAAGGATAGTAGTAGTATTAGTAGTGGTAAGAGTAAGAGTCCGCCGAGTATGTAAATAATGAATATCGTACATCGTCGACAAATTTTCCCTAAATTACGTATCATCCCACTTTTCTCTCTTCCAAAAACCCCCTACGATGCCAACGACAAATCGTCGTTGGTCCTGATTCCTCCTCCTCCTCCTCCTCCTCCTCACCACCGAGTAGTGAGTATCTTTTATTTTTTTTCATCGTTCACTCCTTTAAACATCCAACGACAAATTTGCCTTATCCTGCCGGCTGTTAAACGGTGTCCTAAAAAAAACTTGACTAACGCAAATAAAGCACACCCCCATTCGCCCCCCTCGCCCCATTATCCTCCTTCTCATCTTTCTATTACCTTATTATATACGCGATTCCACGTGAGTAATATATTCCTTTTCCAAAAATTTGTCACATTTTTGCGTTATTTCTTCGAAAACTCATCTCGTATTATCCCAAATCTAATCCATGAATCTTTAGGGGGAAGAAATAGGAAAGAAAGAAAGAAATAAAGAAAAAGAAAAACAAATCCCTACTCGATATATACCGTTAACTAGTTGGATAATTTTCGTAAAAGTAAAAAAAAGGAAGAATAATAGAAGAGCAGCCAGCAGCAGCAGCAGCAGTTAGTATAACACGCGAGTCATTAGATAAGGAAGAAAAAAAAAAGAAAAAAAAAATAAAAAGAAGAAGAAAAAGAAAAAAAAAAAGGAAATCTTCATCTCTCCTTTCATCCAGCATTAAAAATCGATATTTTGAAGGGAGTTCGCAAGCGATTCCTCTTTTCAAAGTGTAAACACACCGACCGTCGACGCATCTGTAAAACGAAACGGAATACGACGAACAGGGAGAATCTGGTGGAAGGGGAAGGGGGCTTGGGGGTTAGGGGTTTGGAGGGTGGTTTGGAAAGAATGGAAGAGGAACAGGAGGAAGAGGACGACCGAGTAGAGTAGAGTAGTAGTAGGAAAAAGAAATAGAAAGAGTAGGAGGATGATGCAGAAAGGAGAAATCTTTTGGCTATATCTGTTTTCCACTTTTTTCGCTCCCTCGGAGAGACGAGCAGAGGCAGTAACAGCAGTGCCAGCAATGCACAGGGGGTACATCACAAACCCTCCCGCCCCCACCCAACCCCTATCCATCTCTTTCTCCCTCTTTCACTCCCCTTTTTAGTACCGCCTCCTCTTCTCTCTTTCCCTCTCTATCTCTCTCTCTCATTTTTTTCTCACTCAGTCACTCACTCTTTCTCTCCATTCCTCATTTCTTGTTGCTCCTCTAACGTTCTCTCTGTCCTCGGCTCGAAATGTGGCATTCAACAGGGGTTTCTCTCAACGGTGGTGCTTGCGGTGGCGCGGATTCCGCGCCGGTTTGCCACGGCGGCAAACGGGAGGCGTGGGGGACGACGGGGTGATAGAGGGTGAAGGGGAGAGGGGGGACGCAATGGGGAAATGATGCGCAGATTGGCCGGATCATCTCAAAAACCACCACCCTCTGCCTCCGGGTTTCTCCTCCTACTACCACCGATCATCCCCCGTGATTCCTCCTACCTTTATCCCATCTATCTATCTCTATCTATCTCTTTCTAACTTTCTCGTTTCTCTCTTACAAACATACAGAGAGAGAGAGAGACACACATACACACATATACATCCACTCAAACGCACAAGGATAAATATAGATACGTATAGAGTTCTATACACGTATATGAACACGTTCCTCGTACTCTGGCAGGCAGGCAGGCAGCCTCGTTCGCACTCCCGCCACCACGGACTCTCTCGTCAGGGGTTGGAATACAACCCCCACTGGCAGCCAGAGTCGCCGTCGAACAACCACCCTGCCTGCCACGGTGCTGCTGGCCGACGACGAGTGACTGAGTCCTCCGATTATTATCTCATTTGCCGGCACGAGCAGCACGCGGCAGTACACCGCCGGCCTTTCTCTCTTTCTCTATATATATATATATATATACATAGATATAGATATATATATATATATATATATATATAGATCTTTCTCTTTCTCTTTATCTATTATATACATATATAGATTTGTTTCTCTCTCTTTCTTTTTTTCATTGTATCTATCTCTTGTTCCAGTTATCGTTATCGTTCTTCTTGTTATAGTTTTCGTTCTAGTTTTCGTTTCGTTTGTTTGAAAAAAAGTCAAATAATATATCTTACACATATATATGTATATATAGTTTATAGAACAAGATTATATTTATATTTATTTCCTTCGTATTTTTGATCGTTACCCCTTCTGGTCCCCTCCGCCCCTCTCGCTCTAGAGATCCATAGATCGTTTAATCGTCATCTCGGAGGATCTACCATTGGAAGAAGTAACAGGAACTAACCCTCCACCTCGTAAGACTGGATTTGGAAAAGTGCGAACAGGTGAGTTCGTATAACGTTTTATATTCCTTGTCCTAATTTTTCTTTCTAATTTTAATTATCCTTTTTTTTTCTTTTTTTTTTTTTTTTAAACTTAATGTACCTTTTCATTTATTCAATCGAATTCTTTAAAGATTTTTTCTATTGGAAATCTACGTTATTTTCATTTGAATTCTCTTCAACGAAAGGGAGGGAGGGGGTTAGTGAATTTTGTTTCAATTTATTAATGAATGACATTATGGTTAGATTAGAATGATTGGAAGTAAAAAAAGCCTCTGTGATATTTTAGTGCGTGACAATTGTTACGAATCGCGACGGAAGGAAGGACGACGCTTGAAAAAAATAAAATACTCGTTTGTTTTTAGAGAGAAATCAGTTCTGTGAGTGTGGTATAACTATTCGCGTGTGCGTGCTTGCGTGCGTAAGTGAGTGAGTGAGTGAGTGAGTGCGTGTTTACGTGCATGTACACGAGCGAGTATGTAACGTGTGCGTTTGAGTGATCGCGATTACGTTTTAAATGCTTTACCCCAGCTGGCTAACACTTTCCCCCTTACCCTTAATACTCGCCAACTTGTTGTTAATCGTAATGACGTGGGCTGTTTGTTATTTTGCTTTTTGACAAACGATAAAAATAAAAAAAAAAGAAAAAAGGTGGGCAGGGAAAAGAAATGGCAAGGTCGTTCTCATAGTTGTTTTACCACTTTTAAAACATCGATCGATCTAACGTCGCGTGTCAAACTTAAATTAAAAAAAAAAAAAAAAAAAAGAATAAAAAAGAAAACATTTCTCGCGTACGATTATCCAACTAAATCAGTTAGGAATCCCATTTTGTGTGTGGTCTAACAATAAAAATAAATAAAAGATTAACAACAAATTTATTGCACGACCTAAACGAAAGGGGTGTCGGTAATAAAAAAAAAAAAAAAAAAAAAAAAAAAAAAAAAAAAAAAAAACTTCCACCAGTCGACAGGGGTGATGTGCGTGTCCGACGATGACGTAATAAAACGCCTGGACACCTCGTCGCGTTTGCTCGTCCTGTTTTTACTTCTTTTTGTTGTTGTTGTTTTCCTTTTTCTTTACCACTTTTTCCAAGCTTTCGATTTGAACGATTCGAATGAAAAGAAAAAAAATACAAAATAAAACACACACACAAGAGCAAAAGTATAGGGAAACTAAAGTATTATAATATAAAGGAAGAAAAGAAAAAAAAAATAATAAATATATTCGATGCTTTTTTTACAATTTATCGTCAAATTGACAGAGACGAACGGGTTGACAACCCTAAAGCCTAAAGCATTGTACACACGCGTTCCCCATTGTTCGACGGGACAACCCAACTCTCGCGTGTACATATTTTCCACGTCCCTTCTCTTCCCTTTTTTTTTTTCTTTCTTTTTTTTTTTTTTTCTGTGTCCAAAAACTCATACCTATACTCAGCCGCCACCCACCCCCTTCCCCTCATTCCTGGCCCCCCCAGTTTCGTTCATATCGACATCAAATATCTACACGCGGACGCGTATTTCATCGTTCGTTGAACACCAGATTCGGAATAATCGTTTCCCAGTTTCCATACGATACGTGATCGTGGCTTACTATTCCCATTCGTGGATAGAAAGAAAAAGAGAGATAGGACCCTACATCAATCACACACACACACACACACATCATATACACATCATACACAGCTAGTAGAGTTACGTTTGTTTGTTTTTCATTTGACGAGCTTGCACGAACGAATATCATCTCGTCTGATTGCGTTTCGCAATCTTAAAAAACAATGAGACAAGCCAAAGAAAATGTTACAGATGTTATTCGATTGATATTTAAAAAATTCTCGATTAAATATTAAGAGTTAATCTATCGATTGTGTGTTAACGAATCATTTCGTTGGGGGTTCATTTGCAATATATTTCTTTTTTTTTTTTTTTATTGAGGGAAGATACGCGGGGGAAAGCGTGAATTTATTTTATCCCTTTCTCAAATGTATATTTCATTCGTTTCTCGCGTAAATGAAATCACAAAAAGAAAAAGAAAACGGAAAAGAGAACTAAGTAAAAAAAGATAATTATAATATCTTTCAATTGTGTGTGAATCGTAAAAGAAATAAAAGGAAAAGAAAAAGCGGGAGTTATTCTTCGCTTTTAAATTATTAATTGGAACGAAAAAATGAAAAAATATATAATATGTTTCGTAGATTGTATTTTCGAATGACCGACAGCAATTTTTGTCCAGTTAAAAATTGTTCAACGACGAAAGACGTTTGAATTTAGTTCCATCTGTAATTATACGTTGGTTGTACTCAATGCGGGCTTGTTTTTATTTGTTTGAAATGTAACGCCTTGTTAGAGTTTTCCACAGTTTCCGACGATCGAGTCTCTCGCATTTTTCTTATTCCTATTTCTTTTTTTTTTTTTTTTTTTAAGCGAGGAACAAGGACTCGACGAAGTCCCATTCATCGACGTTAAGATTAACAGAATTGAGAATAATAATTATAAATAAAGAAAGAAAACGGAAAAATACATGTATACCGCGTTTGTGAATAAGGAATTATTTCTTTAATTTCGCGTTCGCGTGTTACTGTATCGGTCATTGTCTTTGAGAAACCCCCGGGTGTGTTTCTTTGACAGCGGCATACTTTTTTTTTTTTCAAACCGAAACTGATTGCGAGTGTTGCTACGAAACGTTCGAGTTACCTGAAGAATAAAGTCATATAAAAAAGGAAAAAGATAAAAGAAAAAAGAGAAAGGAAAGAAAGAAAGAAATAAAGAAAGAAGAAGATAAACAGAGAGAATGAGAGAAGTAAAATTCGTAGCAGCCAAGCCGCACGACGTTTCTTTCCATTATGTAAAGGGAGAACGTTTTGCGAAAGACAAGAACCCGTGTAATAAAAATGTTTATATGCCGACGGTAGATATAAAATACGCGAAGCTTCTTGTATTTTTTTTTCTTTTTTTTTTATTATTTTTTTTTACCAAGACTAAACTCTCCCACAAAGAAACGGGATGATAAAGAAGTTTAAATAAACAAACAAAACTACCGTGGAGGGGGGGTGGGCGGGGCAGGGGGGGGGGAATTTGGTTTAAAGGAAACGTGAAATAATAGTGAATTATATGAAATATTTTCATAGATTTGTTTCTACTAAATTTAATATAATACGAATTAAAACCGTGGTTATAGTATCAGAAAGGACGTGTCTGACCGCACCGAAGGAACCATTGACTACTTAAGATTAAGTAGTAAGAACAGACGTGTCTGACCGTATCGAAAGAATCATTGACTATTTAAAAGCCTAGTCAGACTGATTACCATTAACCACTACCCCTTTTCATCCCTACAAAAATTAGAAGAAAGAAAGAAAGAAAGAAAGAAAGAAAAGGTTGAAACCAAAAGTTGAAAGGAAAAAAAAGGAAAAAGAAAAAAAAAGAGAGGAGGATTGGGGTAGTTTTGAAGCGTAGACGTAGGAATGCAAATATTCGCGGGTACAGAGAGATTGAAACAATCCGCCAATTAGAATCGTCGACGTGAACGGGATTATGCAGATTCGTGATGGTTGGATGGGAGGTGATGAGGGGTGGCCGGGGGTGGACCTAGTCGGGCTTGGATTGGCAGCTGCCGCCCTGCTCTCGCTTAATTCAATCCACCGAGTTGTCTTATGAATCGTAAACCCCCTTCCCATCTTCACTCTCTCTCTCTCTCTCTCTCTCTCTCTCTCTCTCTCTCTCTCTCTCTCTCGTGGTATTCCAAGCGAGCATACCACTACTACCACAACTATTCGTTTCTACCTTGGAGCCCTTTTACGAAAGCGTGAAACCGAAACGGCGCGCACGAGACGTCTTGGAGGATCCTTCGAAGCATTTCGCCTCGAGCAGAATAATAATGTAACGTCGCTACCGTAAAGTTCTATCGTAAGAAAAGTGTGGAAGTGGGGTGAGGAAGAGGGCAAAGGGAGGGAGGAGGAGGAAGGGGCCGGGGAGAAAGGGCTGGTTGGTGGGTGGTTTTCTTCTTCTTTTTCTTTACTGTTTTGTTTTTGTTGTTTTTTCTTCTTTTCGTTTCTTATACTCTTTGCCATATTCTCGTCGGTAGCTGGGAAAGATCGAAAGAGAAGAGACGACTGTGGAGAGATGAAAGGAGCTATTAAGATCCTTCGAGAAAGAGAAGAAGAAGAAGAAGAAGAAGAAGAAGAAGAAGAAGAGGGGAGAGGGAATAACAGAAAGGAAACAATAAAGATCTTCTTGAAGGAATCCGTCGAAAGAGGAGGAAGCTCAGCCATTCGCGAAAGCTTTTACGTCGGATGACGTCGCGCTAAATTCACTACGGAAATTAACTTTGATCCTCGTGGAATAAAGTTATTCCTTGGATTGAGTATTTTTTTTCAAGTTTCTTTCCTCTTTTTCTTCTTTTTTTTTTTTTTTTATATTTACTTTATTTATATTTACTTTATAGAATCGGGATTTTTAATTATCATTATTCTTCGTGATATTCAAACCGACAATTTACAAATATTACTGTCGAATAGAAAAGATTTTTGCAAAAGAAAAATAAAACGTATCCGATCGAAAAATCTTTCAAAGGCATAATACAAATGCCAACGAAATATTTATAGAATCTTGTATTCTCGAATCTGAATTTTCGCAATAAGACAAAAAAGAAAATAAATTGAAACAACGAAACAAAAAGAAAATAAGTAAAGAATTGAAAATCGGACTGGGTGCGAATATCACAAAATCGAAGGAATGAGAACGAAGAATAATAATAAGAAGAAAATATGTGTTCTCTCCTTTTGTTATCGTAGAATGTGTTTCGTGCGACGATAAAGATGAACAGAATTATGGTTGGAGTGTGTGTACCGGACGAACAGACGAACGGACGGGCGGACGGACACAGGCGACTGGGGCTCGTATTTATCACGAAGAGTAAAACTGACAGCAGTCCATTTCCCGTTCGTCCTGCCTGTCTGGCTGAACATAATATCTCCTGACGAAACAACGTGGACGTCGTTTGTTTAGGAAACAATGGACCGAAACAATACCCGATCCCTTTTCCTCCCTCCTCTTGGTACGCGAACGGCGGACACGGATACGGACCTCTATTCTACTCTTCCACGATTCGTTGCTCCTTGCTCTTTCCCATCGTAAAAGAATCTTTCATCATCGACTTAAAACCTTCTATACCACCTTCTAACATCAAATATACCGAGCAAGATTAACGACGTCAACGTAAATCCTTATATATATATATATACATTTATACAAATTTATATTTCCTAACGGTAACAATTTTATGCGACGCCACAATATTTTTTATGTATCGCGTTGTTAATGAATTTTTCATCTACTTAAATCTTCTATTACTAATTGAAAATTAACGACGCGTCAATGCCATCCCTTACACATTTCCAAATTTATTCTTCCCAACAATAATAATTTCATGTGGCACTGAGTTGCGGTATTTTGTTATTAATCTATTATTTTATGGTACATATATATATATATCGTGCACATACTTATATGTGTTTACACGTATACAGTGAGATCAAGGGTTTGATAATTTTGTAAATTCAATTGTGTCAGTATAGAAACCGCATGCGGTAATTGGATAAAACCGTTTACCATCGTAGACCATCTTTTGTAGTAGTACTTGCAATGTTTTACAACACATGTTTATACACGATACCACCGTTAATCATACTCACTTAAATCAAAAGTTCGATAATTTTGAAAATTCACTTTCAACGGTAGAAACCGCGTAAAGTAATCCGATAAAATCGGTTAACGTACCACCATCATATTTTGTAATATATTTTGTAATACACGTTTTACTGTTAACTAATATAATATAACTAGATAAGAAAAATTCAAGAATACAAAATTGAAACAAAAGTTAAACAAATGATTCGACACGAAAGGTAAAAAAAAAGAAAAAAGAAAAAAGAAAAAAGGATAAAGAATAGATGAACAAAATGGGAAACGTCATAATTCGTTAGACGTGAAATAATCCAAACAACGTATAGTAAATTGTTTTAACATCGTTAAGAGAATGATCCTAACATTTGGTAGTTTCTCATCAGACGATTCCTCGGAGAAGTTTTCCGAGAATTTCTGCTCAGAATAAGGCATCCATCCGACCGAAACAGAGTCGTGCGCTTGACAGAAATTAGTAATCCCTAATGGATGATTCCGATGCTAGACCGTCCTAAGGCTTTGCCCAACTTCATATAGGCATTACTTCCTCCTTAGTCTTGGTCTTAACAGCGGTAGCTATTCGATTAATTTCAGAAGACAATAGTACCTACCTCGCTTACACTTCGTCGATTTACAACTCACACCGAGAACATCCCAATCATATTATTATCATCATCATCATCATCTTCTTCTTTTTCTTTCCTATTCTTCATAGATACTCAACAATACTCAAAGATTTTATTTCGAATTATTTTATTAATTAATTCGAACATTTAATGAATATATATATATAAATCTTTAATAAATATTTATCTAATTAAAGTATGTGCCTTTTTTGAGAGGGGACATATATATCAAATATATAAATTATTATATAAAATAATCTCTAAATCGTATATTATATTTTGTATATTTTAGAATAGAAAATAATAGATCATCGGAAGGATATCAAAGATGACGACAACAACGGGTGATCCGTCTACTTTGAAGACCCCAGCCTCATTGTCGGGTGGTGATTTAGTTTCACGATTATTGGCAGCAACCCCACCTTACTTGTACAACGTACCACTGACACCTCACAGTTTTTTCTTCAGTGAAATGTTAAGATCGTTCGTTCAAGCTAAAGCAGAAGCAACGTCGTCGTCGTCTACAGGAAACAATGGTGGTAACACACCTAGACGTCGTAAGAGATCATGGCGAGACGTACGTGACAGGCCACTCGAACTTACGACCAAGGAGAGAAATCATCATCACCATCATCATCATCATCATCATCATAACAATCATCATCAATCCTCGCAACAGGAGAAGTATTATCACGGACAAACGCAACAACTGGCTCAGCAACAATTAGATTCGCGTTTGGAAACTAATAGGAACAAACAGAACGATAATTATGACACGGATAACAAGATAAACGTCTTCGAACAAAAATCTAATAATTTCGGTGGGGATATGTTGAAATCAATGGACGATAACAAATCCGAATTCGTCAAACAGAGTAAGAATTTTTTCGACGAACGGCCCTGTCATTTCGAACAATCACATTCACCGGAAACCATTTTCCCAACTGTTGAGTTGCAAAAAGTTAAACCGGAAGAACAGCAACAACAACAGCAGCAGCAGCAGCAACAGCAGCAACAACAGCAACAACAGCAACACGTTGATCGTAAAAATTGTAATTACGGAGATAGAAATGGTTACGAGGAACGTTCGAAGAATCAAGTTAACGTTCCCGAATTGTCCTTACTGGCAGATCAGAAAAAGCTCGATTTTTCGATGAACTTTCTTCCAGGACTTCCTGGAAGAGGTTGCGAAGTATTTCAAGGTGTTAAAGGATTTGGTTTACCCGGCAACGTTACAAATTCCGAATTTCTTCCAAGTCCACTTTGGTATCCGCCGTATCCAATGCCACAATCCTATCCTGGCATAGATCCATTACGTTTTTTCATCGACCTACGTGTTTCCGGACATATATGGGATCGTAAATTGAATGAGAGACAGTTACCATTCAAAAGCAAGCACTGTTCGGCTTTTAGCGTTCCACAATCAAAGGAATACGGTAATCGTCCATTGAATCTCACAAGGGACGAAGCTACCACATCTAGAACCATTGACGAAAATATACACGGCACCAATTACATTTTGAAGCATCTCAGTAGGACCTACAAGGATATACAAAAGAACAAAATTTCTAAGCAAGATACATCGATCACTGAAAATGACGATATCAAACAAGGATTATCGGAAAGTAAGTTTGCATATTTGTTTTATTGTTTTTCTTCTTCCAATATAATTTACTTTTTTGTAAATAACAGATCTTTTTGTTTACATTGTAAAATGGAAATCCTTGAAAACAAATATCACCGTTTAAAACGCGTTAATCCCACATTAAAAATAGTTACGTTACTTTTTCAAACGAACAAAATATTAGGCGTAAAAGTTGAGACATTCTCGAACGGAACGCGGACGATTATCCAATTGTTTTTTTCTAACACAGGCGAGGACTCCACGAAACAGGAAGACGCCAGCAATTCCTCTGGGAGTAAAGAAGACGATAGAAAGGATCTGCGTGCTGTAATTGGTCTAGAATTAGTGGTTGACTACGTAAAGGAACCAAAAGGAGACCCTTCGAATGAACAAGCCGCACGAGTTAACTCGGAATAATTTGTGAAAGTGCCAAAGGTGATCTTACAAATTAGATTCGTTCTTTAATAATAAATAATTGGACGATATATTATACGGAAAAATTATCAAATCCTGAATTAATGGAAATTCATTAATTTTATTCATTTATGAAAAGAAATAAAGAAAGGATTTTTTATTTCTCGTTAGAGTATTTACAATATTCTCGAGAATGATTTTTATGTATATCTAATAGTATATAATTAATATTATTTATAATATTCTTTCATTAATATAAGCCATAATCTGGACTTCATAATTTAATGCAATTTTTGTATTGTTTTTCTTTTTATTTCAAAGATTGTTAAATTTCCGTATAATCAAATCCAATTGTAATATAAGACTAGCGTCGATGAATCTCCGATAAATATAATTACAAAAAATCCGAATTTAGAGTCTCGCGATTCTCGTGAAGAAACCAAAAAAAAAACAAAAAATAAGAAAAGAAAAAAAAGCAACCCCGAGAATTATAATCTTGACAAATTTTTCATCCCTCCCCTATCGGCCCCGGCCCAACACCAGGAAAAAACGAAAATTGAAATAAAAATAAATCGCGTTATTATCTATTTAATCGTGTTCCATAATTATAAATAATATCTCGAAATATTCTTAACGCTTTCGTTCATTTCTTCCTCCCAAAAATTAACGCAAAACCTTTTTCTCTCTCTCTCTCTCTCTCTCTCGTATATTGTGAATTACTTATTACACAATTTTCCTTTAAAAGTTAAACATACGCGGAGAAAATTATCGATTAATCGCGATATTTGATTTGAAAAAAAAAAACAAATCAATCCCTAGTTATATAAATAAATAACAAGGAGGATTTTTTTTAGCTACCTCCATGGGACTCCAATGGGGTCTCCTTTTCCGAATTCAATTGTATGTGATATGCACTGTACATATGATAGTAGTATTCCGATGTATCTATATGTATCGATAGAAATATGATAGATTATGATGAACGTGTAAATTGTCGTAATAAAAATCCTATGTGATTTAGATATTATATTTTTTCTTTTCTCTTTCTCTTTCTATTAATCAACTCAATATTATATTATATTCTCTATTTCATTTTCATACAACTTAATAATAATCATTCTTCGATTGATAGAGATAGTCTTATTATTAATAACCTAATAATACTCTGTTTTTATTTTCACACATCGTATAATAATATAAGTTCCACACAATCATTCTTAATAAATATTCATATATTTATTGACACCGAGTATAATATACAAAATTACTGTATTAATCATAGAAGTATTTGTATGACCATCGTTGTGTCAATTAGATACAATTAATATTTGATTCATAGTTTCGAAATTTTTTGAAAAACATAAATATATTATATATTTTAATATATTATAAAAAAATAATTGAACATATTCTTTTTGTTTTTCATCAATAGCGTGAACGAATACTTCTTTGATTCGTCATCATCGTTCTTATACGATAATTTATTTAATCGGTGCATAGATATTAAAACAATGTGAACAAAGTTCATATTATAAATAATATAATACGTATATATCATATTTCCCTGATGAGAACACTCGTTGAAATGTAGCTTCATTATTTATTTTCTTATGTTTATTACACAAAAGAATTGTCATTAATAGATTCATTTATTTGTCCCCTTTTCAACGTAGTACAATCTCGTTAGAATTGAAAGAATTCTCGTGATGACACACATAAATGTAAAGAACGAAGTGCATATCGTGTGGGATATCATATTCTATTGATCGTCAACACTAATAATCTCATGTATCTTAATGTATCTTTAATTACAAGATTGTAAACGGTGTCGTTTTTATTCCGTATCGGCTATTTTATTTATCTAAACTTCTTTTCTTTTTTCTTTTTCTTGTTTCATCGAATTTTTATCCTTACAAAATTATTCGGAAGTAAAGAAAAAACAAATTTCGATTATGCATTCGTATAATCCTATTCTTTTTTTTCCACGAATGAAAACAAAAGAAGAAAAACAAAAAGTGCATAAGAATAAATTAGATTATTGAAAATTCTTAAATAAACGAAATCATTAACAAACGTTTGTTTTTTTCCTGGATTTCAAAACGTTGTAAGTTACTTCATTTAAATCATATTCTATATTATCATTATTATTATTATAATTATTATACAAATTGTAAGAAAAATTCGATTATACTGATATATCATTATTGTTGTTTAAATAAAACGAATTTGATTATACATTATAATTGTTTCTACGTAAAAAAAAAAAAAATAGTTCATCGAATTAAACTCGTTCTTAGGTATAATACGAAAACCTAATTTAATAAAATAAAGATCATTAATGAATGACAGATAAAGATAAAAGTAATGAAAAATCCTTTATATTAACCGACACATTTTATAACATGGCTTGATTACGAATGTAATTATTAACGCGAGATGATAATTAATTCCAAGTTAAGACGATTATAACTAATGTTCCCTTCTCTCCCCCCCCCGTTGTACTCCCTACCCCCATAAATAGACGACGGCAAAACCAATAATATTTCCCGTTGACGCGACGGGTCTTATAAAATATGGACGATTCCAAAAAAAAAAAAAAAAGAAACAAGAGAAAAAAGAAAAAAAAAATACAACAAAATTAAAAATAAAAGTAAAGTAAAGTAAAGTAAAGTAAAGTAAAGTAAAGTTAAGGGAAGGGAAGGGAAGGGAAGGGAAGGGAAGGGAAGGAAAGGGACTAGAAAAGGGTAAAGTAAAAAAGATGAAACGAAGGAAGGTATTGTTCTAGGTGCATAAATCTTCACGAGAAGAGTCTAACGCACGAACGAATATTACAATTCACGATATTTCCTTTTACGTGACACAGCCTAGTGGATTTTAATAACGGAGGGTAGATTATAGATCAAAAGTAAAAGAGAAAGAATAGGAATAAATGTACGTTTATATGTATATATCTCTGTATGTGTATACAAATACTATCGGAAACTATCAGCTAAAGGGAGAAAAATAATAATCGGGTGAAGATCGGGTTGGAATTGATCATCGATTACATTTGAAAGCAGTTTTTCCTTTAGAAGTGCTAAACGATTTTGGATTGTCAAAGGCTAAAGGGTGGTTAAAGGGGAGTGTGGGTGACAGGTGAGGGTGGTTTGGTAGATGGTGTCGCGACTTGCACATGAGACGCGAAAAGAGAATTAAAAAAAAACGACTTCGTACTCTCTCTCTCTCTCTCTCTATATATATATATATATTTTTTTTTTGTGTTTGTTTTTAACGCGTTCTTTTTTTCTTTTTTTTTTTAACCAAAGGATCGTTTTCCATTGACTCCGGGGGTGCATTGCGGCAAGTCTTGAATAATGCATGAAATTTGTACCCTAGAATCGAATCGTTTGCTCCTCGTCGCACCAACGTCGAGGACGAGGACGAGGACGACGACGACGATGACGACGACGGCGACAAGAGAACGGGCATAAATCTAAATAATTTCAACCCTCGAATTTTTATTATTCCTATGACTAGAGGACGACTACGACGAACGGGCACCTCTCTTCAACGTTGAATATGCATATGTCGCTTTCCGCACTTCTCTCGAGTGTGTGTCCACCTTTGTGTCAAAACAACACTCTGTGTTGAGCCACCGAAAGATACCTAGAATCAGCAGCTTCATCTTTTTCCTATCTAATCATTCACCCCTATCTTTCCCCTTCTCCAATCCCCATCCCAATCGTTCGAACAGTTATTCATAACGCTTGAGATAATACGGTTTATCAGTTCTTATATTACATGTATGATTTCTCAAAAAGATATATATGTTTTTATAAAAATAGAAAAATAGTGAGAATCAAATCTATCTTATTCTTTATTAAAATTGATTAACGTTAAAACGTAACCAGAAACCTTCCCCGTCAGTTAAGAAGAAGAAGAAGAAGAAGAAGAAGAGAGACAGAGATTCCTCATAGATCAAAGGAAAATTCTAATATCGAAGAATTTACAAAGTCCGTCATTATTCACTCGTGGAATCTCGATAAATCACGGACAGGATTAACGAGCAACGAAGATGACACTGAATCCTTCGCCTCCTTCTTCTTCTTCTTCTTCTTTCCTTCCTTCCTTCTTTTCTATCTCTTCTTCCTCCTCCTCCTCCTCCTCCTCCTCCTCCACCAGCCCATCCTTCTTTTTCTTTTCCTCGTTTCATAACGGGACGGCCCCTAGTCGTCGGCCTCGTGAAATATAGCTAACAACTTTTCTCATATTTGAGAGTTTTCTTGAGAGAGAGGTAGCTTTACTGTATAATACTCGCACTACTATAGAAAAGAACGGTGTAAAACAAGAGGGAAGTTATGAAGTGGTTGGGACGAGTGCTATATAACGTAACATCGAGTAGGGGTGAAATTTACCGAATGTTTATATCCCCCAAGCACCTTTCTTTCTGCTTTCATTTTTTATTTTTACACTTGCCCAACATCGTGTAAATCCAACTTCACCCTTTCTTTCTTTTTTTTTTTTTAATTAATTGTAGCGTAATATCTTTGATTTTTTTATATAGATAAGCGAGATTTATCTATGAAATGAAAAGCAAACTACGAACATATGGCATGCGATACAGATAAACAGACAATGAATAAAATAAATTAATTAAAGGGAAGAACAAAAATTTGTCCGTTCGAAGATGTTTCTTTTTTATTTATTAATATTTTTTTTTAACTTTTTATTTGTCTGTAATACTGCACAATATCGACTTCTGTAACTTGATCTTGTATTTTTATTTTTTTTTCTATTTAGTACACGCTTCGCATAACAGTTTTTCTTTAAAAGTATAATACAGAGTGAATCTACACATTAATTAATTTGTACAAACTAATCTTTACAAAGTCTACTAGGATCCTTTGTCTGCCAGTAAACAATACGTAACAATTGGTGGGAATAAAAAATCTACGCGATCATATTACGCGTTTACTTGAACGTGTCGTATGTAACGCGATACATATTTTTAATTATCTATGTATATATGTATGAGATAAATGCCATAGCGAACTTAGGGCAAATCTTCGGTACACATTATTAGATATTTGTTTTTTTTTGTTTTATTTTTTATACTATTAAATTAATAAAAATCAATTTTTACGTAAATATTTATACGATTTAAAATTGTATTTTGATAAGATTTATATTCAGCACAAGTAATATAAATAGAATTCTATGCATCCATTTATGATACGATGAAATTTGTCGATTCAAAATAACGTTACCGCATTTAAAAGATCACAAATTTTTTCTACGAGTATTTGGCAGTTCGTATTTCGTTATTTTCTCTATGAGCTAATTTATTTAGACAGTGCAGATACTTTCTTGCAAATTTCGTTAGTATATTCACTACATTTAGCACTTCCTCCAAGATCACCGGTTAAATATTTCGCATCTTTGATGGTTTCATATGCTGATTGTTCTATGATTCGGGCATGATCGTTTAATCCCATGTATTTTAACATCATCACCGACGACAATAACAACGCCGTTGGATTAGCTTTATCTTGACCAGCAATATCAGGCGCCGTTCCGTGTACCTGTATTCACGAATAATTGTGTTTTAATCTAGTTTAAATAAGATGTAATATTTATAAAGAAGCGAGTAAAAACGTTTAAAACATACGGATTCGAAGAGAGCACCATTAAGGCCAATATTTCCACTAGGAGTAAGTCCAAGACCTCCTACGAGTCCGGCACACATATCTGATAAGATATCACCATAAAGGTTGGGCATGACAAGTACATCGTACTGACTCGGATCTTGTACCATGTTCAAGCACACCGTATCCAAATACTTTTCTTCGAATTTAATTTCTGGAAATTTTTGTGCAGCTTCCCGACAACATCTAAGGAATAAACCATCCGACATACGCATAATATTGGCTTTATGCACCGCAGTTACCTATAGCACAATAAAATCTTTAAAAAATCAATTGATTTTAACTCCTTGAAATATAAGAACATTAGCATTGGCTTTGGCATGCAGCTTTGCATGGTTAAATCATAGTGCAAGGTATTAATTGTCATCAAAGACAATCTTACCTTCTTCCTGTTATTATCCTTAGCATATTGGAAAGCAAATTCAGCTACCCTACTTGACGCTTCTTCCGTAATTAATTTAATACTTTGTACAACGCCTTCTACGATCTCGTGTTCTATACCTGAATATTCACCTTCCGTATTTTCTCTAATTGTAACTACGTTTACATTATCATACAACGTTTTATATCCTTCCAAAGAAAGACACGGTCGTACATTGGCATACAAATTGAATTCTCTACAAAATAGAAACAAATTAGTTTACTTGCTGACTTCTTACCTAAAATGTATTATTCAGAATCAACGAGTAAACGAGTGTAGATGATACATCACTATACAAATATCAAATAAACTACATCAAATAAGTCGGTATCTATATTTGTCTTTAGATGCTTAACGATTACATAACATATGAATTATTAAAAGCAGCATTGCTAAGAATAAGACAATATCATCAAATAATAATGAACAAAATTAAACTACGCTGTTTAATTACACAGAGATAAAGAAACTCACTTTCTTAATGCAAGATTTAAAGATCTGTGACCTTTGCCTATTGGAGTCATTAAAGGTCCCTTTAAACCAATTTTATTTCTGTTAACTGAATCGATAGCTGCTTGGGGAATACCGAATCTTCCATCTGGGCCTTTTACCGGTGTTACGTCTACTGACTCCCATTCTATTGGTACCTGTTGTTATAGTGAAATCCATTATTATACAAATTAATTACAATTACAAAATAGCTTCTATATTTTTCGATTAAAAAAAAAACCTAAATTTGTTTCATAAACATGTAATTAAAGCACTTTAAAAAATTAAGTACTAAATACACGTATACGTACATATATATATATATATATATATATACATATACGTACTCTATATATATGGTGCATATATATAGAGATTCAATATGGATCCTTCTGATATGACATAACACTCTGAACTTTTTACATTAGAATTAAAAATTGACAAAGAATAAAATTGTTAAAAGAAAAAGTCAAAAACATACCTGAACTATAGTAAGAGCACATTGAATAAGCCTATAATTGGATCAACCTGTATAAGAGTAAGATTAAAATAAACATTGTAAGGGGTTAGTGCTAAGGACAAATTAGGTCACCTTGCAAAAAATCTAATGCAATATTATATATCCTTAAATTAGAACAAGAAAAAAAAAAAAGAAAAATCTACATTTCATGGAAGGTCCTTGTGTTATCTCATATTCCAAGAGAAAAGTAAAAAAAGAAAAAAGAAATTGGAAGACTTGTAAAAATCGATTAACCGAAAAGTGCATAAGAAAAAGAAGAAAAAAACCGAAAAGAAAAAAAAATGTCAATGTTTTACCTTAGCAGCATCGAATATCTTCTGCACGGCAGCGGAAATTTCAGGACCAATTCCATCTCCTGGTATTAGAGTACATTTACGTGCACTGCTGCCGTAGAGGCGTACGTTGCCAATTTTCGTAGAGATCTGTCCTCGGAAAATCCAGAAAACTATTCAATTCTCTGCGATGACATTTAGTCCGTTTTATTCCGATGTTTTATGAATTTAATGAAAGGGAATGATAACATCTTGTTTATAATATTTGCTCATACATTTCATACATAATTTAACGATAAGTTCTTTCAATATACATGAGAGGATTGGAAGAATCTTTGTTAAAGAGAGTAGACGAAGATTTCTAGCCAATGCGTGAGATATTCTAACCTTTCTATTCGAAAATACGATAAGATTAAATAATTAATGTAATAGGTAATAAAACGTTAATTTTACAGCACGTGTCTAACTTACTGATTTTCGTATCCACTGGGCTGCCATTATCTCTAGTACCTTAACTTTTGTAGAAAAAAAAATTCAACCTCCACTATACTTTATATCGAAATGTACGTTGCGCACGTCAGAACGGTCAGAAAAAAAGGAAAATGAACGAACGAAAGACTGTTTCTTATTGGACGATTAAATATCGTCTGTCTTCTGCTAACTGGAAACGGAAGATAGCGGACGAATTTGTTTGAAATCAACCAGTGGCGCCACCTCCTTACATGTTCCAATTATAGTTACGTTTCATAGATCATTATTATTTAATTAAACAATTAAAATTGAACTCTAGCCATAAGGAAATATTAAAATGGATAAATTTTATTTTTATAAGTAATTGATACTGTTGGACCTTGGGAAATGGTTATTATTTGAAAAATAAGTATAAATTTGAATTAATTTAAAATAAATTTAATATTTCCCGCCTTAATTCATATCTTTAAATTCGATCGGTAATTGGTCGACGAAACGAGATTCATTCACGATTGATAATTTTATAGGAAGTTAAAAAATACATTTAAAATTCTTAAAAATAAAAACAAAACATTGATAACATTAATGGAAATCACTTGAAAAATATTTTTATCTAATCATATACTTATAATAATATTAATTAATGCGATAAAAGTATCTCCCATGTTAAATCTTTAATCGTATTACTTATCGAAATAATACGCGTTTAGAAAATGACTTTTGAATTCGTTGTTTCCGGAATTTTATTACTTCCGTTGACAGCCATTTTATAAGACGCTTCTGTGGTGCTCGCGTATGTTTGCTTCTATTTTCAGTTGAAGACTCGTTTTAGAAGCCTCGGAATTTAAGAGAGATTATCTGGGATTTCCTGTGTTGCTTATTATCTTTAACAAATTTCGAAAATCATGAATGCAGAAGAGTAAGTATAATAATTTATAATTTTCTCTACGATTACCGTGAATATTTTATTGTCGGCATGTGTATATTCCATTACATTGCTAATTTTAGCTTTTTCATTTTTTTTAATAATCAAATTATACTTATCAATGTATATATGCTTTTACCTCTGATTAGTATCATTATTCATATAGATTTATTTAAAAATATCAATTGCAATTAAGTTTATCTTTTTATTTTTTGTTTTTTATATTAGAATATTCATGCTGTGCAATTAAATGTTATTGTATTATATAAATTCTTTTTTTCTTTTCCTAATATTATTTGTAAAACCATAGGATACAAATTCCAAATAATGACGAAAGAGATCGAAGTAGAGAAAGAGATCGGATGAGAAGATTAGATAGACAAAACCGTATCAATTCTACTAGTCGTGATAGGAGTAGAGAAAGAAATGATCGTGTTGGTAGAAAAGCATCGGACACTAGGATTTATGTGTCCAATATACCATATGATTTTCGATGGCAGGACTTGAAGGATTTGTTTAGAACACATGTTGGCAAGGTGGCACATGTTGAACTTTTTACAGATGAAAATGATAAGCCTCGTGGTTGTGGTATTGTAGAATTTGAAGATGCAGAATCTGTTAAGGTTGCAGTTGAGAAGATGCATCGTTTTGACACCAAAGGAAGAAAATTAGTCGTGAAAGAGGTAATTCAAGAGGTTGTTATGTAACATCTTTTAAAGCTGATATAATGTTACCAAATGTATGATTAAACTAATTTAATAATTAATAATTGTAACTTTTTAAGGACTTTGATGTTGAGCGTGATAAATATGGTCGTTTAGCAACAGCACGTAATAATGATAGACCAAGAGATGATAGGTTTAGGGATCCTCCTCGGCAACAAGGAGTTGGTAGACAAAATATGCCTGCACCTAGTGGAGGTGGTGGTGTTGGGGGTGGTGGTGTTGGCGGCGGAGGTGGTGGTGGTGGTGGTGGAGGAGGTGGAGGCGATAGCAAATTTGGTAATACTTACGGGCTAAGTACGCAATTCTTGGAATCTTTAGGCATCAATGGACCGTTGGTTACAAGAGTCTTTGTAGCAAATGTAAGTTTATTTAACTGTCAGTAAATATCTATAATAATCATTAATTATGTTACTCTTTATATTTTTATTCTGCTCTACAGTTGGACTATAAAGTGGATGAAAAGAAATTGTTGGAAGTATTTAAATTAGCCGGAAAAGTCTTACACGTTGAGTTGGGCAAAGATAAGGACGGAAAATCTCGCGGTTTTGGAGTTGTAGAATATGACCACCCTGTAGAATCTGTACAGGCCATTTCAATGTTACACAATCAACAACTTTATGATAGACGAATGACAGTAAGACTCGATAGAGCTAACGAACCAGATATGCCACCAAAATTGCCAGAAGGTATATTTTTTTACAGATACAATAAAGCTTCTTCCATGTTGCTATATCTATATATTTGAATATAATTATATTTTTGTTTAAATTAGGTTTAAAGGGCATTGGAATGGGATTGGGAGCTGGAGGAAATAGATTAATGGATGTAGCTCGAAACATTCCTAGCGTACAAGCCAACAATCCACCTGTTGTAAATCCAATCTCTGCTCCTGTTTTGGCTGCTGGTGCTTTCGGTGCTGGATTAAATAATGTCGTGCCTGCGCAATTAGGTATATATTATGAATATGTAAACATTAATTATATTTATAATTTACATTTGTATATTTATAATTATGTTCACTTGTCTAATTTTTTTTAGCATCTGCATTGTCAAATTCAAACGCTGCAGCAATTCAAGCAAGTCTTGCTGGTGGATTAGGAGCAAATTTAACTACAAGTTCTTTGTTAAACTCATCTTTAACAAATGATCTGGCTTCTAATTTGAACAACTTTGGTGGAGGAGTTGGGGGTTTATCAGGTTTGCAAGCTTCTTTAGCTGGTGGACAAGGCAATAATTCTTTTGCACCAAGAGGCTTGTCTAAAATGGACAACGACATAGGATTCGGTGGTAACAATGCTTTTGGAAGTTCATCATTCGGTGGTGGCAGAGATTTTGATGGAGGCTTCAACAGAGGGGATGGCGATCGTATTTCTGGAGGAGGTGGTGCCTTCACAGGTAATCAAGGACAAGGTGGTGGAGGTAATCGACAAAATGCTAATGGATCTCGACCAATGTCAGATACAATTCTCATAGGAAACGTAAGTATATACATGGATTATACATGGTATATACATGTTGTTTTTGAACTTATTTTTCATTTGAGAAAAGATAATTTATGAAAAATATTAATAAGATAGATAAATGAATAAAATTGATTACAGTTACCAGCTAACACTACATGGCAGATGTTACGAGATAAATTCCAAGATGTTGGCGAGGTGAAATTTGCAGAAATGAGAGGTACGGATATGGGAATGGTGCGATTTGTATCGGAATGGGATGCGGAGCGAGCAGTGTGTATCCTTTCTAAAGAATAATCTTAAAAGAAACGTCATATTTAAATTTTGTTGACAATTTTTGATTTCTACGAAAAATACTGGTATTTGCCTTGATTTCAATAATATATAATAGCAATGATGAATCGTTCAAGAATTGACGGGAGGACGATCGACGTACGCTTATACTAACGATAGAATGACTTGGAATGGATTAAAGGTAACCTTAGTACGAATTTAATATTCGCAGAATTTGATGCTTGACCATAACTTATTGATGCAGCTAGAGGAGACTGGAGTTTGCTATGTCGTCAACAGCATTGTTCCGTTCCTGATGACAGTACTTGAAATTCATCGTAGTTATCTGGCAGAGAACTTAGGACAGTGAATGATGATGAGAGAAGTTTTGGTCGTTGGAAAAGAGAGAGAAAGAGAGAGATAGAGAGAGAACAACTGTTGTGTCGTATACCTGTTCAACGTTGAAATGCTCCTATTGAACGGCTAATGGTCAGCCTTCTTTTTGACGTGACAAATCTTGTTCTAAATTCTACCAGCGTCAGTTCATCGTTCCTTTTTACAGTCGAACTCTATTTAAACCGTTCACTTCTATATCGGCTTTCTTCGAGTGATCGACACGTAGTTTAGTTTGTTAGGTTTAGGTTCGTAATGTTTTCATACATAATCCGTAGGTTTTTTCAGTATCTAGGATACATACTATTTACAGTAATTGGTAAAAAGTAGATTGTAAGTTTATTTCATAGTTGTCACACGATGATGATGAGAATAAGAGAAAGAGAGAGAGAGTGAGAGTGAGAGAGAGAGATGATGATGATGATGATCAATCGATTTTCTGACATTCCGGTCTAAAGTGACGCTCTGGTCGTTCGCATACAGGTCAACAAAACTGGGCATGATAATATTTCTTGTAGAGTATACATAATATTTTGTTTTAAATCTGCTGCACAACTCTCAAGAAATTCAACAGTTAAATTTTTGACAAATCAATCTATATATATATATCAGATGATAATCAAATTTATTAGTGATTCGTTGTCCAACAACTCAACTCGTATATAGATATAGTTAATATGTCTATCGTTTTATTCTAATGTCAGTTTCTCTCATATCTGTTCTTATGCCTTATTAATATGTAACTAGATGATGTATCGTGGTTCAACAGGGAACAATTTCTCCGCTCCGGTTTTTTCATATCTTTGCAATTTTTCTTGTGTATGTATAATAATATATAATTGTTTTTTCCATTTTTTTCTCTCTTTTATTAATATTTTATTATTATTATCATCATCATTATTATTACTTTTATTATTAATATTATTATTATTATTATTAATCATCCGGAATTCGGCAGACGTCGCATTGCTATATTGTTGTAATTAAATTTTTAGTTGTTGGATGATTTAATGAGCATAAACGTGTTGTTATTTCGCATTAGGAAGGTCCTTTTTTAATTCACTCACTCTTAGACTTCGGCGAACGAACATTGGATGACTTTATGCCTCTCTAAAGATTACAATTTCTTTTTTTACAATTGTCTTACTTATTGTGCACAATATCATATGTTTACCAAAAAATATGGCACATGTTCATTTATCATTTGAAATGAATAAAGAAAAGAAAAAAGAAAAAAAATGAAATAAGAGATTTCGGACGGTGGTGTATGTTTTTGCTTTTTATATCACAGTGAAGAGAAAGAAGAAAAAATAGTATATATATATAATATACAAATAAAACTTAAATAAAAAAGT